GCAATCGAATGCCTAAACACAACACCTGGGTGCTACAAACAGTGGATGCGCGGATTCTGGAGGGGGGGGGTAGCATATATATATATATATATATTGTACACCTGATTGGGGGCCAGCCCAAGGCCCCCGACCCATGGTGCGCACCGACGCAGCGACATCTCGCAACGCCACCGGGGCGCGCCTGCAGCCAGAAGGTTCGAGGATCCTGGTTTAAGGGTAACCCTTTTTATAGGGTTTCGACTCGCACAAGGCCGGCAAGGCTTTATACGGTTTAGGGTTTTAGGGTGACTCTGGTGTGCTTTGGGGCAAGGGGCCATGATCATAGTCATGATCTGGATGAGCATAGTATGAAAAATATGACCAGGTCATGCCTGGTGAGATTTAACATGTGGCAGTAACTTACGGCTGCAGACTCTACCTGGTCTTTCTCTCTGCCGCTACTTACGCAGGCAATTGTTTGGAGGGCCGAGCATCACAACCCGCTTTTGTAGAAGATTGCAATGTATAGTTACAGCATCACTGCAGAATCTAAAGGCTGGTTCACGGTGGAGGGTAGGGTTTAGGGTTTATCGGGTTTAGGACTCCTAGGCTGCTGAAATGGAGATAGTTTCGGTGCTCGCTGTTGGACACGTTCTCTCCAAGAGCCTCCAGGCCACAGCTGAAGCAGAACATGGACCTGGGCCATGGCCGGAAGAGCTCATGCTCTAAATCAAACGTCGCAAAGGGCCCCCTCATTGGTCTCCATGCCAAAATGCCTTTTTGAGCCCAGACTCTGCCAATCAGCCAAACTCCCAAACCCGCAACTCTTACAAACCCTACAACAAGCGCAAGGGCACTGAGTCTCAAGCCCACATCGGCAGGTCATCTTATCACATCCCGTGAGCAAGCCATCGGCCTGGTCGGGAAGAACACGCAGCATCAAACGGAGAGGGTGCATCATTCGGGGGTCCTTATAGTATACTATATAGAGGTCATGTACCAGAGAGAGATACATATATATATATATATATGTATAATATATGTATATACTGTGTATATATATATATATATGTCGTGCACTATGGTAACACGGGTCATATACGGTTTAGATCTATCGAAGTATGCTACTGTGCCGCGTCTTCCGAAGCCGCACCGCCACAACAATGACTACAACAACAAGAACTTGACTACGGAATCAAGACAGGCAGCAGCCAAAACAAACAAATCCAACAAGCCGCAATAGTAGCAGTCGTAGTCGCGAGTCGTAGTCGTAGTCGTCGTCGTCGTCGTCGTAGTAGCAGTAGCAGTAGCAGTAGCAGTAGCAGTAGCAGTAGGAGTAGGAGTGGTAGTAGTAGTAGTAGTAGTAGTAGTAGTACTAGTACTTGTTGTTGTTGTTGTTGTTGTTATCGTAGTCGTAGTCGTAGTCGTAGTCGTAGTCGTAGTCGTAGTCGTAGTCGTAGTCGTAGTCGTAGCAGTAGTAGAAGCAGTAGTAGTAGTAGAAGTAGTAGTAGCAGTAGTAGAAGTAGTAGTAGAAGTAGTACTAGCAGTAGTAGTAGTAGTAGTAGTAGCAGCAGTGGTGGTAGTAGTAGTAGTAGTAGTAGTAGTAGTAGCAGCAGTACTAGTAGTAGTAGTAGTAGTAGTAGTAGTAGTAGTAATAGTAATTAGTAGTAGTAGTAGTAGTAGTAGTAGTAGTTGTAGCAGTAGTAGTAGCAGCTAAAGTCGTAAGAGCATGTGTGGCCACAAGAGTTGTAGCGACCACCGCTACAATACGATGTGCCAACCACATCATCAAAAACACCCACGTCTATACATTGAACGGACGCGGAAACGAGTACCGGGAATCATGTTCAGTCCAACTGAAACTTGGCCATCAAGCAATAGGTATGAGGTGAGCTTGGGGCCGTGGTCAACAGAAACGGGTGCCTGGGTGGGTCATTTAGGGGCCTCATAATTAGAGCAAGGTTTTGGGGTTCATCATAGTTCTAGTAACACAGGTACTATAATATAAGAACTTTTCAGGCTTCTACATTACTTGTGGCCTGCTTCTGAATCAGCACGTGGCATCGTGGGCACTGGCGGATGCCCAGTCGCTTCAGCTCCTGGCGACGCATACGCCAAAGGTTGTTAGCCAAGGGTGCAGAGGGCTCCTCTTGCTGATTGTTCTGCGCCACCTCACAATAAGTCCTATATAATCAGTGAGTAGAAAGGACGCGACAGTCCTTTCGGGATTGGGGGTTCGTACTTGCATTGCAGCTCATGCCTGTTAAGCCAACCGGTTCACAGTTCAAAAAAAGGTCAGCTGCAGCACACAAAACCCCGTAACGAACCCCGGACTCAGCACAAAGCCCTTGAAATGTCGCCGCTGGACCCTGCGCCCCTCTCGTAAGCTCTGCACCTGAGCCTCTTGTGACGAGAGCTGGCTTTCAGAGCTGGTCCTGCATCATCAGCAACTTGATCAAACGAATTCGGTGGGGCTTTCCTGGCCCCAGGCATACCCTAAAGACCGAACGCCGTCACTGCATTGGCTTTCCACGGACGAAGCGACCCTTCATGCCTGGCTGTTTCATCCACTGCCAGTTCTAGTTTGTCTCTCCGTCTCAATGTTTGATTTGGTCTTGCGAAGAGCTTGCAATCGGCAGAATCCTTCCGAACAGAATTCTCGCCACCACCCAGCGCAACCATTAAGCCCCAGGCTCAGCAAAACCAAACACACGCGCACACACACACACACCAACACATCCGCATTATATGGATCCGACCTTTGAGGTCAAGAAGGGCTGCCCGGAGAGAGATAGAAGCATGTGGAAAGGACCCTTATGTGACGGTGCCAGGCAGTCATTTGTGTGGGCAAGAGAAGCTGGATATCCCAACATGTGCAAGCCAATGGAACCTCTTCCTTAATCATAGAGCATGCAGGCTGATAGAAGATTGAGCCGCTTAACCACGCGCGACAGTCTGAAAGCAGTGAAACCAAACACTCGTTCGACGGAGAGCTCCTCGAACGGAGCTCTTGCTGCAAGCGCTGCGCAGCTGCGATCTTCACAGCCGCTGTTTCGTCGAGACAAGAGGACAGATCCTGCTCGGAATCTCTAAGAGAACCCGGTGGACTGAAACGAGCTGAGGCTTCAGGGCTCACGGTGCTGGCGGTTTGTAGCCTGGGCGTGAATCGCTAAGTCGAGGTACTTCCGGGTTCTTTAAACGGCATGTGGTATGCTGAAGAGGGTTTTGAAGGGTACAGGATTCCGGTCGGAGGGCTCGCAGCCGCCGACATGTTCTGGAAACTGGTCGGTTCGTTGCGGGCTCTGTGGCGGACTCGTACGGCATCAGACATAATTGGTACAAGCACTGCCTTATGGTTCTCGTATAATTCTGCTTGACTAATCCTTAAAACCCTCTTCTGGTCCTAATTGTTCAGGCGCCTGTGCTGCAGGTTTGGTTGACCTGCTGTGTGGGGAAGATATGAATGTCGCGAGCAAGCGAACAACCCAAAAAGTGCAATCGACAAGGTTGCAATCATAAGGCAACCTGCTACCTGCTACGAGTAGCTCAACGGAAACCGAAAAGGCCCCATATAGACCCTATAAAAGCCTAGATCACCCTCGCAAAACTCTGGCAAACAACCTAGAACAATAAACAACTAATGCTCTTAAAACTCTCATATCAAACTTGCTCGACGATACAAATCTTTACATGTTGGGAATGCCCACGGAAGCCCTCAGCACATGTGCATGTGACGAAACCTGCGAAATATTCTGCAGCCGGAACACTTCATATTGCCTGAAAAGCTGAACGAAGTTGAGCGTTCTTCCTAAATTGTCGCTCTGTTGACAAAGCTGCATCGAACTACAAGGCCGAAACAGCAAGACCTGCTGTGCACACATCTTCCGGTTGATCACTGAAAGGGCTACCGCTACTGCTCACGAGATAATTCTCGTGACAACAGGAAGCTCTCAGGCCTGATGCTTATGCCAACAGCATTCGCAAGAACTTCGTGCAACAACAGATCGAATGATCAGCAGCAGCACAGGCACAGGTCCCGAGCCATGGCGTCCTTAGCATAAACTTGAAAGCCTCTTTTGCCGAACAATCTTCCATTCGGTCGCTCGGGAGTTTCACGGTGCTACGAAACTCCCTGAAGGGTGGGATACCGCCAGGTCAGTCCTCCCAAAGGCCATCACAGGTAGGCAAGGGACACCTGCTCCAAGCATATCGGAGTTCCGTGTGTGAGAGAGAGAGAGATATATATATATATATGTGTGTATGTATGTATACATATATATATATATATATACATATGGGCATGAAGGATGCACAACGCAGGGACGGAGTGGATCCACCGAACGACGCGAAGCCCCAAGCCGACGCTGAGGCCATGTAGGAGCACAACCAGGACAGTGATATCATGAGCTCTCTCTCTCTCTCTCACACGGACTCAGTTGCCTGTCAGCCAGTGATATCATGAGCTAGCCTAGGCCTAGGCAACCTGACAGCCTGATCGGAATGGATCCGTTCTCCGCAGCAGTGACGGCAAACTTCCGGGCCTCGCTTCAGGGTTTAGGGGTTTAGGGGGTATTTGGGAGATTCCGAAAATGAGGGGTACCTTGTTTTGGGGTCCTTATAATAGGGATTTAGGCTACTATATTAGGGTCCCCTATTTTTGGAAACTCCCATTTGCATCCAGGCCTCACGCTATCCGGGCTCACATCGCAACATGCTCACAGAACTCAGGTTTGACAACATCGGCCAGAACTACTTGGAGTTCACCGCGCAGAATGTTAAAGGGTCAAAGGCTTAGGGGTGAGGGCTATTGCGGGCTTACAGTAAGGTTCTGTTGCTGTTGCTCGGGAATTTGCCCCATATTTAGGCAAGCCTTTGGCAGATTCTTCAACAAACATCCGTCCAAAGTTCAGTCGGGTCTGATGTAAGCTGCCGGCGCAGCCCACATGAAATAGGGCCTCGCACTGGGCGCAGCGGAAAGCACCTCAGCTGGGCATCCCGGTGGAACAACCACGAACTCACATCACACTGTGATACGACAGCACGATTACTCCAACTAAATGTTCCGGTGACATATACTTTGCCATACATGCTGCATTGTATCGTTGGAGCAAAGACTATACTGACAATCTGTGCTGCTAGTGAAGCCTCACCCGCACCTTCCGGGGCCTCTCAACCAGCCATCCTCTGACCGTCCCGTTCTAGAATCTAGTCAGGTCATGCTACACCTATGTAGATCATATACATGCAAACAACTGATGACTTTCCTTGTCAGTTGTGGCGATTAGCTATACTCCCTTTTCAAATAGGCCCATACGTACACCAGTATAGAAGCGAAAAGCAACACGTTGTAGCCGCATGCTGATACGCAACACGGTGCTAAACCCGAACCAAGACATTTTACGGGAAGAACGGAAGAACTATTGTAGCACATTCTAGTACGGTCTGTAAACAAATTATACCGGACAGCAAAGTGCTCCAGCATCCGAAAACACGAAACCCTAAACCTGAAGCCAATGTCGTAAAATGGACGTACCACCCACTTTTTTGCCCAACAGAAGCTCAAGCGCGTGCCACGTCTACACTAGGCACAGATCGTTGCGAAACTTACATTAGTTTTCGACAGGCACGTATGTACATACATATATACCTACATATGCACACACACACACATGTTACGCATTTCTGCTTGTCTTGGTGCATCCTGAATCTCTCGCTCCGACATAGCGGCTCGTTTTTTAAAACATGCTTGCAGTGCTTTTGCATTCCCGCCTGACCAAGGATGCTGCTGCTAGTGTGTTCGAACACTGAAATACGCCGATATCACTCTCTTGCTCTTGCTTCAAGCCGGAGGCACCCTCTGCGCTGTCATCGCTCGTGGCTGTAAACTCATCGAGGCAAATGGGGCAGTCACCTTTCGGGAGTCGAACAGTTGAGGTGGGTATGTGTCGGGGACGTAACCCATCAGACGGAGGGCATGTAGCATCGGCGATGTGGAAGCACGCTATGCGGGGCAAAGAGGAGAGGATACAAAAACTCTGAGTTGAGGTTCCAGGAAAAAAATCATTGGTGCTTCCTTGATCAACAAGTAGGGGACAAAACGCCGTGAGCAGCTTTGGACCTAAATAGTGCAAAGCCATCCGTTACACGCCAGGAAGTGCTTTGCAGGGGCAGCAGCCCCTTTGCGCAGACTTCACTGTCAAGTGCGGGACCCGAAAGTGCTGGGGCATGGATTGCCAAGTTTAGTTACGACATGCGCACCATGGTTTAAGATTAAGTCACCCAGCAAGCCATGATCTAGGTAGGAACCCTATAGGTGTATCTTCCAAACAACAATCACAGCGCAAGTTTCTTCTGTCGGTGCAGCGCCTTGCGGCATCGTGGTCGACAAGGCAACTGGCCCAGGACATCTTCCCAACGCTGTCTTTTAGGGTCTGTGCGGTTTGGGTTTAGGGTTTAGGGTCGCTTGCCACCCCGCTGGGTTTAGGGCTTAATTAGGCTAAGTAGGGCTATGCTGGATGAAAACCGCACTCGGCTCAACAACTTTGAGGCAGAACTTGATGCCTACACTTCCGGATTCCGAATCAGGGGTTGGCTTAGGGAGTTTCGGGTTTTAGGTTTAGGGGTTTATCATAGGGACCCTTATGGGGGTAAGGTGAAGGGGGGTAGTGGACTACACTTCCTTCAATAGGCCTTGTTAAGTCCTTATTACGGGTATCAAGCCCACCCACCCCTCTAAGGGTCCTTATGAGCTTAGGGTTTAGGGGTTAGGGCTTGGGGTTAAGGTATGCATTAGCTGTGTGTGCTCAGGGTTTCAAACGCAGATTGCGGCAGCCTATCTTCGTTCATGAAGCTCAAGCCAAAACGGCAGTGGATGCTTTTCTTAGGTGTGCAACTTCAACTTCCCCTTGCATCGTCAGTTCTCACGTCGTGACAGCACTAAATCTGCGACCGAAGGCAGGGTGGCACAAAGGCAGCAGAGTTGCATCGTTTTCTTCTGGCGGACTTGTTAGACGATGCCACCTTCATCGTCAACCTCGCGTCTTCTGACGTGGGCCTGTGCTAGAGACGAGCATTTATGAACTTTCAGCAGGCACTGGGTACCTCCCTTTTACCCTCGGTAGATCCCTATAGACCCTAAACCCGGAAAGGCTGCTTCGAACCGCCGGTCGTGGAAACAAGCACGAAGAACCCTTTGGACCTTCGAGGACCTCTGCCCGCCTGACGAGAAGAGTACCTGCCTGTGCGCTTTAGCCTTCCCATGGAACCTCTAAACCCTAAACTCTGTTTAGGGTTTAGGGTGTATCTTTTCCATCATGACAGCTTCCACTGAAAATGCTAGGAATGTTGCCGGCAAGCCATCGGCTGAGCGGCATATTCCTTCACCTGACCCCACAGCTCTTCAGCCCCAAGCCTCCGAAACCCTTCAAGGCCGGAATCTGTGAAAGCTCGAAAGCATGGAAGACCCCCCGCAGCAACAAAGTGCCGGCACAGGAACTCAAGAGGTATGACATGACCTGGCAACTTGAAAGCCTTAAGAGCACAGCCTCCGGCCGTCAGGTCACAAACCTCGAAGTCTAAGGCCAAAGGCTGGCGTGACGACAATCATACAAGGTGGTCTACCTCTCGCACCGAATCCCCTGTCCATAGTGTTCCCCAGGCCTTCCACAACCTTGGGGCCTCTTGTTTTCTGAACGAAGCGCCCGGAGTTCCCTGACAAGTCCGAGCCTTGATCTGTTGCGCCGACTCACGGCGACGGAAGGCGCAGGAGACCAGGTCCTCTTGAGAAGCTCAGCGAAGGAAACAACCCCTGAAGAGAGGAGCCTCTGGACCTTCGGCTTTAAGGTCTCAGGAGTCTAAGGCCTTATAACGGTATACATAGATATAGATACATATATCTATAGAAAGAGAGAAAGAGAGAGAAAGAGAGAGGGTGCAGGCTTGACCTTGAAATGGGGTCTCAGAGGACTGGGATCTAGCTGTCATTCAGGTTCGATACCTTTGCGATGATCGGTTCTGAAGCGGACCTCAATGGGTAGGATTTGACTTCAGGGCTTCAGGTTAACCCTAAACCCCAAACCAGTATAGGGTGAAGGGCTTCAGGCGCAGAGGTACATCGTGACCTGCGCCTGTCGAGCGAGGGGCACCGGCCAGAAGGTCTTACGTTCATATTTGTATGATCTCAGATCTGTTGTGCATGCAGCAAAAGACTCGAAACCCTGCAACACATGTTGCAAAGCCCAACACTGCGAGACCTGTCCCCCCGTTGCATATACGATATTTCAAGAGAAGGCGAGGCACGTCCACTTCGACGGCCATGTCTGCTTCATCCTTTGGAGCCTGCGGAGTCATGGTGGAGGTGCACCATCGACGATGCTAAGTGTCGAAAGCAGGAATGCACGTCACGACATTGAAGCCAAAGCCAATGGTTTGATGCGATCCTGGCCATCACAGAGGCCCTGCTGTGTGAAGACTTTGCAGAGCATGAGGACCGCAACTCCGGACGGAAAGGGCATGTGCCCCAAATGACGACTGCCATGACGATGGCAAATGGTACACCGGCACAGCAAAAGAGCAAACCTCAGATAGCTACAGTACTGGACGTGTGGTGGTGGTAAAGCCAAGCCTCTTTCTTCCAACCATGTGGGCGCATTGCATCAGACTCAACGTCCTCGGTAGCAGGCAGTTGCGCAAAGCGGTCTTGCACTGGAGGAGTAGGGGGTGAGGGATCAACAAAAACAAACAGGATCACAAAAACCAAGCCACAAAAACCCGAAGCAAAATTAAAAACATGATCGACAACAAACGAGTACCTAGGCAACAAAACTAAATAAAAACGTGTAAAAGATCAACAAGAAATTACATCAGGATCAGAAAATATGTCAATTGGCCGGTACTAGCAGTAGTAGTAGTCGTGGTAGT